TATTTTCTACGCAGAATTATTAGAAAATTCTGAAGTTTCATAATTATTGTACCTTATTCTTATATGGAACTAAAAGTGCTGATGCATCTTATAACTTTTTCATATTAAAGTTTGTCTTTTATTGATTTTATTATTTCTTAAAATTAAAATGTTATTTGAATGATTGATGCTAGGTAGTTGCAAAATAAAATAATGTATCACATCTGAAAGTTTAGTCAGTGAAAGTGGCACTATAGAGAGCAAGAACGAAGATTGGTGCAGAATAAGATGAATTCATTTTATTTCGTTAAGCTATCATCAGATGTTTACAATCCATAATATTTTCAATATCAACGTTATTACAGATATTGAAACCTATAAATACGAGGGTGATTAGAGATGAATATGTACATCATGATGTAGCAAATATCCATATGTAATAATCGACAACATGTAACAAATCTGCTAAAACTTCAACGAACCCATCTAAATATGCAGTTTACCATAGAATATGAAACTGAAAACAAGTCCCATTTTCTCGATATCTCAATAAAACGAAGGAAGGATGGCACAGTTCAATGTTCAGCTTACAGAAAAGACACATGAAATGGGATTGATCTCAAATTCAATACATACTGCCTATACACTAGAAGAGGAAGTAATGAATGTTAAAAAATGTGTAAGCAACAACTGGTAGCCACTGAAATTAATTGAGAAATATGTAAAATATGAAGATAAAAAAACCCAGAGAAACTACAGTAGATAGAAAATCTATTTTTATTTAACTTAAATTCAAAGTTGATGCTGTACCAAGGTCAATCAATATGAAACTGAAAACTGCATTGACAAGAACTTATCCTGCAGCTAAACTGATTATCCTGCCAAAACAACATGTTCTGTAACACAATCAAAGTCGATAGGTATCCCTTTCATGTTATCACCAACTATGTATACAAATTTACATATATCTGTCAAGGCAGTTACATCGATAGAACATAAAGAAGATCCTACGTCAGATTCAAAGAACATATTGCGAAAAGCGTAAGATCAAATGGATTAAAAACATTCAGATATGCCATTTCAAGATATCTCCTTGACTCAGGACATCAAGTCAATATACTGAAATCTTTCAAGGTGATCAATAAACAATCAAACTCCAATCTTTTGTAATTTGCCGAAGCCATAGCGAGCAAACATCTAAAACCAGATCTACATATCCAAAAAGAAGCAGTAATAAATCTTTCTTTGGCCTGGTTATATTACACCCCCTTTTTATTTGTTACGTCGTTCATTATTTCAACTCTTACTGCAGTTTGGATTAGATTGTTATTTTTCTTTAATTCATAACTGACTGATTTCAATTCATATCTTTATTACCATTAATCTATTTTCATTTGCTTCATTACATAATCATCTAATGTTTGTTAACTCCATGAGTACTAATCTCAAGGTTCTGGAACATTCCCTCCAAAACTTTATCTGCCTGAACAAAATTTTTTTAATGACCTTATTAACTTTATCAGAATCTTTGCTACATCACAATACACATTTATCTCTAATCACCCTTGTATTTATATGTATGTCAATATATGTAATAACATAGATTTTAAAAATATTATTGGTTATAAACAGCTGATGAGAGCCTAACGAAATAAAATGAATTCATCTTATTCTGCATCAATCTTCGTTGTTGCTCTCTTTAAGATAATAAAGAGTACTATTTGTAAAAAATTGCATTATTTTGAAAATGCGTGATATGGGTACGAAGTTCACTGGCAGTACCAATGCATCAAAATCCCAGGAACCCCTTGCTGACGTATGTCAACTAGCACGAAATCTACGTCAGGTAGGGCTTCCTATCAGCTACCTCCAATCAATCGAAATTTCAAACACAGTGCATGGAATGTCACGTCTCTTAAACTCCTAGTCGAATTGGACCTTGACTGATAGAATTTTAAATAAACTTTAGACTAAGATAAACATGGTTATGGTAACTATTCAGTATACAAAATTCATATATATTTAAAACAATTAGCCCCTTTGATAAATTTCGATAATGCAATGAGAAACTTTGTCTTCTCATAGATATTTGGTTTGAGTGTTTAGTAATGTTCGAAGATAAATGACGATCTATTTATCTATTCATTTGTTTTAGATAATGAATAATATTTATGAATATATGTTTATTATGTACATGTGTGCGTTAATGATAGAATGAAATAATACGTGTATGAGAAACTAAGAAATCCTAACATGTCAAGCTTTATTGATGAGGGTTCAGTCGTGATTGCTCACATAAGAATCAACTGAATTATATAAAGGTATCTTTCTAACTAAATCAGTATAAAAATATAATGTGAGACGTATTCACGCAACAAAAATGATTATTTCGTTCACAAACTGATTTAAGCCAGACAAACAGGAAGCATTGTACAGCTTTGCCTTTAGGACTCCTCACGAGTTCAGATCCACTTCACTATTCGAGATTAAAACTGGGACTTTCAGGTCTATTTTTAATCTTCATAACATTCAACAATCTTTATCATCCCCATGCTAAAAGACGAGAATGAATATTGAATTATTCCAAATATTAATTACAATGACCATAACTTTGATACATTGTTAAATGCTCGCTGACTGTTTTATGGTTATAAAGCAAACCGTATTTATAATTGTTAGTCTTCATAAAACTAAAAGAGTAAGATTTTACAGTTTTGATGTGAATAATTCCCAAAATTTTGAAACATTACTTAAAGATTATGGTTTGAAAATATAGTGAAATATTATTTGTTTGAATAAAAATATACTAGGTCGAAACGGCCGACCAGTGCTTCCAGGTTTTCCATGGTGGTCCAGCTTCAATTGACGTATGATTTCAACTATTCAATTACTAAAATCTCCACAATACCCCTTCTGATAATAATAATCATCTGCTCACTAGTGACTGACTTCAAGAGGCATTTCCTGGAGTTCTAGTGAAAAGCCGATACCTGTGGAGTTCAATCAGGTCTGTTGTGAGATATCAGCTCACTGAAGACAATGGTGTACGGTGGTTCAGTTCCGTTGATTAGTTGAAGTTAGACATTAACACAGTTGGATGCCGGCTCAGTGGTTTAAAGGTTAAGCGCTCGCGCGGGAGACTGATAGGTCCTGGGTTCGATTATCGCGGGGGGCGGGATCGTGGATGCGCACTGCTGAGGAGTCCCGTAGTAAGACGAAACGGCCATCGAGTGCCTCCGGGTTTTTCATGATAGTCTATCCTTAATTCACTCATGATTTCAACTACTGAAATTACTAAAATCTCCACTAAACCCCTTCTGAAAAAATATGTATTTGTATTATGGTTGGTGTATTGTAATTGACAAACTCTAAATCATAATTTATATATTTATTATCAGAAGTCTTCGTATTTGTCTTATTATTTTTCATATTATGAATCACTAGTAAATACTAATTCTTGATGTTTACCATTTTTGCTTGATGCATTGCTGCAAGCAACATTTTCCTATACATTTTACTTAAAGGTGAAAGATCAATTTTAAATCCTGGTGTATTCGGTATGTGAATAGTAGTTGAACTTGAGACGTGGGTTTCGTTCTGTTTGGGATTCGTCAGCTCGAAATATCAACGTACCAGTGTTGGTGTTTACACTGTACGTTATATTATGTGCCTATTGCTTCAAGCACCAATAGTTTATCCAGTAAGCTTTCGAGTACCGTTAGCCACGGTTCAATTACTGTCCTAAATAATAACGATGTTAAAATTTTTTAGTTGTAGATTACTTTTCATAGATATATGTGCATATTGAAAGGATCACCCATATATTGCTATTCAATGGCTATCTTTACTTAGTAACTCAGTGGATTATACATTGCCTTTTGAATTGGAAAAAGCTAGGTACGGGTCTCATTGTGAACGTCTACCCCAGAACACAAGTACGTTGAGCTGAAATATCTTAAATAAAGAGAAACACAACCTAGTTCTCGCTGTTAGATACTATCCAACTTTGATAAAAACTTCATGGATTATCTAGATTAAGCTTATTTTTTTAGATCACCTCAATATGTTTGCAATTATTTCATTCGCGTTTGTTAGTTCTTTAAGATAACTGATACTTATGTTATTACAGCAAAAATATATCCATATAAATGATACGCTCAAATAGATAATCAACCTGATGAACTTTTTAATGCATTTATGAATCGAGTAGATCTTAAGTGTTCATTCTATTATTCGTCTTTAGTGAAGTTATTCGCAATAAACTCATCTGGGTCACCATGATCACATGTCAACTGTTTCTATTGTATAAAATTAGTTAGAATAACGATAAACTAATATCATTGTTCATTTACTGAAATCTCATTTTAAATACATGAACTGTAATGCAGAACTGTAAGGGTGATCAAATTATGAGGGCGCAAATCGCTTTAATATTGCGACGGATATATTGAAACACTATATGATATATCAACGATTAAATAGACTATCCAAATCATGACTTGTTGTTCATTATTTGTATTATGAATTATTTTTCTCAGTCTCAAAGTCTTTAAAAGTCAGTGAAGTTTTAGGACTACGATTCAGACTATGGGGTTAAGAAGTTGGTCAGTGTTCGAGGCGACATTTTATTATTAACTTATATTGGAAAAAGTAAGAATCAGTGTCAAACATTTTTGTATTTCAATTCTATAGATTACTGAATGATTCTTGAAAAACTCTTTACAATTTATGCTTTAAATTGAATCAGTATTTATGACGTTTTTACCAAACTACTATTTGTTTTATATTATACTATATTTTGTTTATTTTGAAAACATTTTAAGTGTTTTCAGTCTATGTTTTTAGTTTTCTATCGAAATGAAAAATGAAAGATTTTATTTAGAATTAATAATTTTATTAATAAATTGTTCAAAATTACATGGCCAGTTCTTTTTCTAAAAAAAACTAATATGTTCTTCCTAATTTGAAACAATTCATGCTAATTATTATCAATATTAGTATAACTACTGGTTTCATTAACAATGACAACATCTAAAGGTTAATGATATTTTTGAAAATCCAATCACTTCTTACTAATTACAGAGACGTAGTAATTCCGTAAAGTAATAAACCAATTGTCATGTTGTATTTCAATATACAATGCATATATACCTGTTAAATGTCATCCTATTCACTAATCAATACATTTTATCAATTTAATTAAATTAATTAATGTATAATTCCTTTAAATTATTCATGTTCTAGTGTGTACAGTCAATGAATTAACTTACTGTGAATAAAATAAACATTTGATTAAGTTCTGTGGATTTGAACATTAATTAATCTTAAATTATTAAGATCATATTATACAGATTGGTTAATGTTAAAATGTAGGAGACAGTCGATAAAACACTCTGAAATTAGGTTCCATGCTATTCGGCAATCGACTCAGAACATTCAGGCTAAAGGTCACAGTGCAACTTAATTAATAGAATTTGATAAGCACTATAAGACTGAGCAAAAATGACGTTAGCCACAATTTAGATAGTCAGTAATATCTCAGTCTTGCAGTAAGACATTCGCTGTCTAAATTGCTTAGAGGTAGCGTCTCTGAGTGTGAAGCTAGTTGACACGAGATCGGATCACACTGGCAGCATCAGTTCTCTCAACATTATAAGTAATCGTTGCTTGCAAGTAGTATAAAACCTATGCCCAGAGTTTGCTGTTGAAAACGTCCAATCACCCAATATATTAGCATAGTGTACGTTATGTCAAGTCACTTAGAGTGGTGGTCACATTGTAACTTGATCGATAGGATTCAATCAATAATGAAAGACTAAGTAAAGATGGCATTAATCACTATTCATTGACCTGTCAATTACTGATTGGTCAATTTTATATGACTCTACATACATCTTTTATCAGTTTTGTGAAACTGTCAAACTTATATTAGTCCCATTAGATAAATGTTGCTATTAATAAATTGGTAGAAAAAATCACTGCATATTGTATTGGTTTATTTTCATTTTAAACAAGTTTTATAATCCACGATATAGTAATCACTCGAAAAAAGTGTATATCAACTGTCTGATATAACTGGTAAGTTAAAAGTTAAGAAATTTGCCTACGAACTATTAGGTTCTGGGCTGAAATGTAAAGACCTAAAAGGGTTTGAAGTACAAGGTTCAGAACGCTTTCCAGTGTTAATTCTACAACAAACACAAGAGCTGTTCAACAAACCATTGGATGTGCTGATAACTGAATTAAACGCCACCATTGATGCTAAAATTGCAGCAGCCAAGGATGAATCAATAAAACGTATGCTTGAAGATGACCGGGAAACAAACATACAAAAGACAACAGATTCTTACTATGGAAATATGACGTTCATTGCTGAACTCTATCTTGTTGGATGTATTCCAATCAAGACTATGACTGAATGTCTGAAAAAATTGAAAGATTCTTCAGCTCCCGAAGCGTCAACCTCTCTCATAATTCTTCTAAATATATGTGGCAGTAATCTTGAAAAAAATTCTAAGTCTGTTTTGGATCAGTGCTTCAAGCGACTCGAACAGTTAAAAGATTCGAAAAACATTGAGACGCATCAAATTTTCAAAGTACAGGAGTTAGTGGAATTACGTTCGCGTGATTGGAAATCTGCTAATATTACCCAACCTCAACCACAAATAGATACTTCTAGACGAAATATAGATGATAAACTAAAGCGGAACTTCATTCAGTTAGATACAAAACGTAAATCTGTTCAGTCAGTGAATCCCTTAACGCCTTCCAGTTTAGCTGTTACTCCACAGTCCTACGATTCCCGAAAACTTGGTCCAACTGTGGCTAATTGGAGTCAAGGTAGTGGTTTACTACGGCCTTCTGAAGATAACCATTCAAAACGCAATCAACAGTCAGTACACTCTCGTGAATCATATATATATATATATATATAATTTCTCCGAAGCATAATAAATATGCTAAATGATGCATTAAAGAGGTGTCGAGTTTCTCTTTGCAATGATTGGTTATAATACATTTTCACCTTTACGTGGAATAGATAGAATGCGATTAGCAATGAAGTCCATGATCAACACTTCGTCTTATTCGAGACTTGTTAAATGGATGTATCTGAATCCCAGATGTTTACTCAGGGATTTGAACACAGTACCTTAAGCTTCAAACACCTGGAGCGTTATCCACTTATCTGACGAGTTCAAATACCCATTCAGTTGTGTAACGGGTATGAATATTAACTTATTTAAGTCTCGTTCTGTCACTCGATGGATGGAGGTCTTTAATGAAAGTTGAAGTGTAAGTAATGGTAATAATATCAATGGTTTCCATCAAATTTAAAAGACAAAATTTATTGCTACTGGTTTAAAGCGGACAATAATAATATCAGGTCTAAAGTCTCAACTCTTCCTATACCTTTTTCCGGCACCGAAAAGATGAGTCTTATGAACAGCTTACTTCATACTTCACTGAGTCAATTGTCTAATCAAATCATGTTTCCAAGTCATAACCTTTAATTAGAAGGTCAGAATAAGTTGGTTTCGGCATTTATGTGTTTGTGAAGACTAAAAATCCCTTTTTCGTCGTTAAACATTCCGAAGATATCTATTTTAGAATCACGACAGCTGAGATAAACCTACTTGTCTCATATTAGCGACCTATTTATGTAAAAATAGGTGTGATGTAATGGTATTTAGGTACTTTTAAATGAACAATCTTAATACAATATCTGTTCATTTGGTGGTGTGAATGACATATGATAAAATCGATTGAGTTTATACTTGTTACTGTTTGTATAACTGTAAGATTTAGACCTATATAAGAATGATGAAAGCTATCATATGAGATCATACACTTGCTCAGTACTTAGTCATTATTTTCTAAGTTTTCTAATTTACAAGTGAAATGTACTACCATAGCGATATTGACATCTACATCATATTTGTGCTAAAGTTATAGTAGTGTGTTTAGTTTTTGAGTGACGGATTATTTACTGTTAGAGACCAGATCAGGTCAGTGAACGTAGAGCCTGAGACAGATGTTCATTGGCATAAGTTATTTATTGCTCTGTTATATCATTTTAACAGAATATTAGAGTTAAACAATTCAAAACGGGTGAAACTTTTGATGAAAGATTATAGTAATGTGAAATTTATGAAACAACTGTCAAATTAGTCAGGTTTAAAATTTATCTGTTCGCTTCCAGTCTATATCATATTGATCAATACAATAAACCGATTCATCATCATTTTATTTTATTCACTTAATTGATTCAGTGGAAATTTATAGTTTTAAAATAAATTTCTTCTTAAACCTATATCAGATTCAGAATAACTGAAAACCAGGGGATATTAATCAATTTATTTATCCTTATTCAACTTGACAGTACGTAGATCTTTCATAAGTTCTGATAGCCGACTTTAACGCTTCAACTGATTGGAACGCAACGAGAAACAATGTAGTCAAAAATACATCCTCCGTTTCTGTGACAACGTGAGAAACAACAGCTCTTGTACATGGCACGTCACTCTCCTCCATTATGATGATGAAAATGTACTTTTTCGACGAGTGCTGACATTTTATAACACTTTCAAGACATAACTAACCAATTATAACGAACTTAAAACTAGCAATTTAATTGGACGAAACGTGGTGAAAAATTTTGGAAAATGGGATGAAAAAAACTTTTTTAAAGGGGTGAAAAAAAAATTTATCAAAAAAAATTAAAAAAAAGCCGGTCGCTGAATGTTATTCAACATTTTTCAACAATGTGCTTAAACTACTCCATTGCACATCAAAGGCAGGTAATTTAGGTGTCTCAGTGAATATAATAGGATGTAGTCAAAGTACACTTTTCACCCAATATCCAATATATCACGACGCCATTCGTTGCTATTGGTAATCAAACTTAAAATTCAACTTATATGACTTCATAAACTCTACGTTCACGTTAGGAAACTGATTTCAAAGTTAGTCATCATCAGTGAGCCCTTCTGGAAAATCTTAAATTGAGACAAACAGATGTTTAGCACTCTTCAATTTTCAATAGTTTGATAAAAGCTATTTTAATCCCGTTTCATGTTACACACTTGAAAATTAACTTTTACTTCATCTCATTATGTGTCATACGACAAATCGCATCCCACTTTGATGGAAATTATGAAGTGATCGGAATTCCAGTGAGAAGCCGTGATCAGTGGAGCTAGTCTGTGTCGGGTAGAGACAGGTATTCACCTCAGTATAACGGAAGATGTTCGTGCAGTTAACATCGTTGGATGCCGGCTCAGTGGTCTAAAGGTTAGGTGTTCGTGCGCGAGAGCGAACGCTCTGAGTTCAAATCCCGCAAGCGGGATCGTGGATGTGCACTGCTGGAGAGTCCCACAATAGAGCGAAACGTCCGTTCAGTGCTTTCAGGTTTCCCATGGTAGTCTAACATCAATCGGTTCATGTTAAGTTGGCTTTTTTATAAAACCGAAATATAATTTAAAATTTTAACCGTCAAGCAATACTAGGTTTTAGTTACAAACATTCACATTCATCCTATTAAATGTTCGATTACCTGATGCTGTCATGGTGATCGACTCATTTATAGTTTTCCCTCATTTTTGTAGAATATTTAACATTGGGTTTCATTGTTTAAATTAAAACATATACACACATTTGTCACGTTCCTCTCCAAGTCTCAGTGAAACACAACGATATTTTCATTGTTCATCTGAGTCAAGTGTTCGTTTCTGATTTATGTTTATTACATGTCATACATTAAGTTGTATTTCTAAAATATGTTTTCGTTGTACTAATCCGATTGCTTATGTGTGACTTAAAGCACAAAAAATGAAATGACTTCATTTTATTTCACTACGTATATTGTTTTTTCTTCACAATAAGTTATCTGTGGATAGAAACGATGTACTAATGTTTACTCTGCTTATTTACTGTAGGTACTGTGAAACTAATTTTATGAATTATCTTAATGTGTTTCTCATAGCAAACTATTTTTAAATATAAACAGACACTATAGTAAACTAAAAGCAATCAACCGTTAAATGCAAATTAATTAGTTGATAGATGAAAAAAATTCAATTGATACATATTAAGTATTCATATGGACAGTTTATGAACACTTGTAGTGAGTTGAAGATCATCGAATTTTTTAAAAAGTGATACTCTATTTGTGGCATTGTAAGGTCGATAAAAATTTTGTATCTTGTATCGGGCAAATGAGAAACGGTCAGTCGAAGGATGTATTACTCAGTTTTAATGTCCTTGATTTTGAAAATTAATAACACAACATCGAATCCCATGAGAAGTATCCGTCATTTAAGATTTATAAGTATATACTGATGATGAATGCCAAGTACCATGTAAATCCAAATGTTCATGTTAATTGGCCTCAGTGATTTGTAATTCAGTTTAATTGTTTAAATTTTACTGTTTTTGGTGTTCAGGACTGTGATTGATCAGTTTCATTTGGTAGATATGCATTATGAGCGGAGTGTTTTAATATAACTATTAATCACAAGTATTTTTAAAGCGCAGATAGGTAATCACTACAAGTGGAATCCGGGAGAGGTAATTCGTTCTATATGTTGATGTTAAAACCTGAACTCGATCATTCTTTTCGGTGTGAACAATACACCTCGGCATTATTTATTTATTCATTTATTTGAACACATAGATATTGGTACAGGGAGGCACCGAATATATATGCGCCACACAAAACAATGATAATTTGAAGAGGAGAAAAGAGAAAAAAAGTAATGAACATAGGGAATTATAAAAAAAAAGAGAGAGAGAACAATGATAGGGGAAACGGAAAGGTACAATCAGAAGAGATCTTTCAGTTAAGGAAGATACAACCACTCTTTATGAAGAAAGTAAAAGAAGGTTACAACAGGATCGCCACTGGCTTCTATTCCGAGCCATATCTGACAACGTCTCTAGCCACTGCGTTACACCGTCTCTCGGACCCCAGCCAGGGAGTCGTGAAGGACCAACAGAAGCTAGCCCTTTGCAGCTTTCTTTCATACCACGACACCATGTCATACACGGACCACCTATCCGCTCTTTCCAACCAGTCCCAGAGTCGGCAAATAATGCACGACGTGGAATTCTCTGGCACGACATTTGTAGAACATGTCCAAGCCACCGAAGCCGGTGTTTCAAGATGGTGACACCAATTGGATTGTCGTCTCTGTGCCCGAACACACGATGCCGAACCTCTGCATTACTGACATGGTGTTGCCACTGGATGTCAGCAATCCTTCGGAGACAGCGATGATCGAACACAGAGAGTCGTCTAACATCCTCAACTCGGAGAGGCCAGGTTTCACAAGCATAGAGCAAAACTGCTCTCACCGTCGCGTTGTAGATCCGATATTTTACAGCCAGATTAACATCACGAAGGAGCCAAAGATGGCCCAGATTGGCATAAGCCGCTCTGGCTTTCACTATACGTGCATTGATCTCATCACTCACGCCACCATCAGCACTTATGCAGCTGACGAGATGCACGAACTTCTCGACTACTTCTATCTGCTCACCATCCAGAGTGAGTACAGGATTAGAATCCTGTCAGTCTTGTAGAAGTAATTTGCACTTCGAAAGTGCAAAGCACATACCATACCTACGAACATTGATTGCCAACTGATTAAGTGCGGATTGCATGGGTTGGGCGTTATCGCACAGTAAGACAATATCATCCGCATACTCAAGGTTGAGAAGTTTTTCTCCAGACAACAGATCCACACCGCCATTACTTACATCCATCAGAGCTGTTTCCAGAATGTCATCGATGGCGAAGTTGAAGGGGAATGTTGAGGTTGGGCAACCCTGTCTAACTCCACTGCTTGAATGGAATAGTGGAGAGAGGTGGTTGTATGCCCTCGCTCTGCCTGAGGTGTTTGTGTATAGGGCTTTTAGGATATGAATAAACTTCTCAGGCATACCCTTCTTCAATAGACAATCCCAGAGAACAGTTCTGTCCAACGAATCGAAGGCAGCCTTGATATCAAGAAACACTACGATTGTCGGCCTTTGATAAGTATGGCGGTGTTCTAACACTTGGTGGAGGGTGAAAGTATGATCAATACAACCTCGACCAGAACGAAACCCAGCCTGCTCCTCGCGAGTCAATCTTTCTCGGGTTCTGAACAACCTACGAAGTATGATGGAAGCCAATAACTTGGACGCAATCGGAAGTAGACTTATCCCGCGATAGTTTTTACAGGAACGACGTGAACCCTTTTTAAAGATAGGGACAACTATCGACTCATTCCATGACGTTGGTACACTCTCTAGTTCCCAGATCTTTGTAAACAACGTCGTCAGTCCCTTAGTCAAAAAGTCACCACCATCTTTAAAAAGAGCCAGAGGTAATTCATCTTGGTCCAGTGATTTGTAACGTTTCAAGAGTTGGAGTTCCTTGCGGACTTCTGCCTCATTTTGTGGATCAGTCGTCACCGGCCATGGAGGGCAGGACAGTCTGACCGATGTTGCCGGAGCAGCAGGCCAGTTGAACTGCCCTTCGAAAAATTCTGCCCATCGTCCAAGACGTCGATGGATGTTAGTGATTGGCGTTCCGTCATCCTCGCAGATTGTTTCGCTCACACCAGACTTTTTGCTGCCAGTGGCTCGGATGAGTTGGAAGAGCTTCCGGTAATCACCAGATGCAGCTGCTGCTTCCAGCTCATTAGCACTCTCCAACCACCAGGCTTCTCGGTCCTTACACAGTTTGCCCGATTGCATTACGTAACATCCTTCGTCTGTGGTCAAACTCACGGTCACCCGGAGTAGACCGACGGGCTTCAATCAGTTGTAAGGAACCAGAAGAAACCCAGTGCTTATAAGCGGGACGTTTCGCAAAGCTGCAAGCGGCTTTACTCGCCATTTTCATGGTGTCATGAAGTTGCAACTAATACTCATCCATACTTTTCGGTGGAACGGTGGCTAGCCTAGAAGCTAGCTCAGTTTGATAATTACTTGCAACAGAAGTTGCAACCAGCTTGCTAACGTCAATCCTGTGGTGGCGGTCACTTCGTTGTCCACTGAAAAGTAAGGTAAGATTGGCGCAGACCAGAGCATGATCAGATTCCAGATAGGTACTCCAAAAGGAGTGGCAGTCTTGTACACAACCACGCCAGCGGTAGGTGATCGCGATGTGATCAATCTGAGTC